ATGGGAGTCCATTGACAGACAAAGTTCTGCCTTTCCTCTTTACATTTATCTTGTTTTGAAAAATAGTTCTTGAATGGCGCTTCCATTATTTTCTAGTCAAAAACTTGTTAACTAAATTCTGGTCGAGGCTGTTCGAGTTTAGAAATATATGTTGGGACGAAGTATATGTATTTTCACCATAAATTAAAAGATTTGAGTTCTTTCTGTTTTCTTCTGTGAATTTAATGATTTATTAACCTAAGGTACAGTAACCATAATATACAAAATAAGCATAATATACATGTATCGCTCTTCTCTTCTTTGAATACCGATTTCAGTGTGTGCTCTTCACCTCGCTTGACTCGTCATGGAAGTGTGGTCTCCATTGGCGAAACTCAACCAGATGAAGCGACACTGCATCGTTTAAATCTAATCACATCCCTAAAGAAAGAGGTATGCTCAAGCTTAAATAATTACCAATGTAGGTAAAGTTTGATTTCCTTCATCTAGGTGAAAATGATAATGGAAGAGGCTGTGACAAAACGACATATTGACATCAATTCACCCTACGTAACTTCCTTATGTGGTAGGTGCATCTGAACTTTTAGATAGATTGTTCTTTCGGCTTTCCACTCCATTAAACGCCCGTTTTCGGGGCATTCATGGGTACGCGATGTTATTTGCTTGAGTTAGCCTCAGCGAGGCAAGGTAGAAAACATCACGAAATGAAGAGCGACATCGCAAGCTATTTAGTGAGGGCCTGAAAATCCATTTAGGTAACTAAGCATTATCATAAACCTTCCAGAAAATGGAATATTCGGGAAATAATCCATCTTAATGTTATCTTTCACAGACAGTTCTCAAGATTTTTTGAGAGAGCTGTGCTTGAATATATGATACATTCAGCTTAAAACCTAATCGAAATTCAATGTTACTTAGCGTTTTCAAGTGCCGAACGTTTTTTGTCAAGGTTTTAAGATAATCAAAACAAAATCACCAGTGATATCACTTTTACTGAAAGAACTGTACAACTGTACAACTACATGTCTTTTATTACAGTAGCCGTCGAAAATTGTCTTATGGATGGTCTACGTCGCCGACTTCTTGGCCTTTTCGGCAATCGCACCTCCCTTGCTCTACTACACACAATCGCTAAGACGAACCCAGTTGCCGAGCAGGTGCTGGCAAAAACTTTGGAAACAAATTCACAGTAAGTAGCTACACGAAACAAATTCACACCAAGTTGCTACACGAAACAAATCTATCGTAAAAATTGGACTAATGCAACACTTGACTAAATCCAATTAACTGTAACTGAATAAAGAGGAAGTGCGGTATTTGAACTGATTTGTTGACATTATAAGTCGCAACTACGATCTTAGAATGAACGAAATTTCTCCACATTTGAAGGAATCTCGCCCCTCAATTTTTCTTGACTTTTCGGGATGTAGTTGTGCCTTCGTCCCAAAAAGTCAAGAAAAATTGTTATAAAAAAATAATACTTTATTCTGTAAGATTCTGGTCAATGAAAATCATTAAGAACAAAAATAAACAGCTTTTTTACTTCTTAACCAATTTCTAATTGGTTCGAAAAACGAATATGAAGTCATAAAATTTTTGATTTTCGTTTGAGGTAGCTCGTCCTTGAAAACTTTCTCTTATGATAAACTCAAAAGGTTTAGCTTGACTGCTGCTTACTTCTTTCTGTTTGCTCTCTGTGATCCTTCCTTTTCACGTGCATGTACTCCTATAATCACGCCAATTTTCTCGTTCCTCAACTGCTTAAGAGCCCATTTAAGATAACAAGAGGATGTAGAGCCTGAGCAATTTCTGCATGTATGTTTGTGTGCGAAAAACTTGAGAACATAAAATTTCATAGTATCTCCAGTGATACTGTGGAATGCAAGGGTGATTGAATTTTTCCATTTTTGATTTTATGATTTTGAATAGAGCCTAAGCTTCTTAATTCATTTATGTGTTGCTAAAATTAACGTCATAGCTACCTCCTCAGCGCTTGGCCTTTTGCCTTCTGCTTCCATACCAAAATAAAGAAGTGGAACGAGTAACCAGGAACTTAAACGAGTTCAACGCCAAACATTTGCGCAAGTCTCAATCTGCGTTTAGGGCGTCTCATAAATCTATTAAATTCTTAGTGGAATTGATGAGTGCAGCTCAGAGTTGCTTCGCACAACTGCCTCGTGATTGATGAGATCGAAGTTAATTTTTGAATTATGGAGGCTTGAAAAATAAACGATATCAATGTAAAGAACTGGGTGGGACACCAACTCTTTATACAGCAGTAAGTATCCTTTTTTTACTTCCAGACCATATATTCAATTGTGAGCTCATCCTTACTTGTTAGAAAGTAGTAATTGGCAGCTACCATAAGTAAGAAGTTTTGAGATGAA